TCGACTCATAATTGTTCGATTCTCATTTCATTCTTAGATTAGTTTATTTTAGAATAAACAATTTGGTGTCGTCTGTGGGGAATTCGCGCAAAGAAGAATCGATCATGGCTGGAAGCATAAATCCATTGCTGGTAGAATTTCATGAGCATCTCGAAACCGCTAAGGAAGAAATCCGACGCGAAATGGCTCAACGGATCGGATTGCTAATATCCAGCGGGAGAATGACAGATTGCGTTCTCATGTGCAATCGATGGCGTCCATAGCTTCCAACTCAAGGTTCAACCGAAGAAGTGACGCCATGACAGCAACAACAAGGTTGGATTTGGACCTCATCCCGATCCCGACCGCACCACTCACCAGTACGACAAATGCTCTATCTCTCACATCGAGGATGTCACCCACCGGCCATCCTCAATCCACCGTCATTTCGCAAGTCATACCATACGTTCCTCTTGTCCCGAAAACGACTCCAATGCCTAATATTCCTACATGTTTTTTCCTGGAGTCGCTGCAAACCAGACCGATGATGACATGACTACATTCCGTCAGCCACATGATGCCAACTGCAGCTGCCGCGACGACCCCATCGGAGCCTTTCATCCCTCATTCACTGGCTAGCACATCAAGAGAACCAGGACCCTCAGCTCGATCCATCCCTCTACCGAATCCTAGGCGGAACATGCTCCATAGCATACTTCCAGAACCTCAGAGAAGACGGGTCCCGAACCAAGTCGACTTCCCCAGCCCCCACAGGTCGACATCAACGGACATGTCGGTGTTAGAAGCCAGAGCAGACAGGAGCCCGAGATCATAATTATACCATCGCCAACTAGACCAGAGGCGACCCGGCCGTTGGCTTCATCATTCATGGCAGAGCCACAAATGCAGACTTGCCCGACGGATCCCTTAGCCGTCATCATGGAAGAACTGAGAGAGATGCGGAAGTAGATCAGTGGTATATCCGGGGTGCCGCCACCTCTAGATATTGCTTCACAAACATGCTATGCACGTTCTCCTTTCGGACGGCACATCACGAACGTCAAAATACCCAGGAAATTCGTTGCCCCGTGGATGAGATTATTCATCTTAAAATAAAACAATAGAAAAAACAAACATTAATAACTAAAATATTTTATAATTGAATAAAATTAAAGTATAAAATTATTAAAGAAAAAACAAATAAAAACAATGAAAGAAACCAGTAAAAGGAAGAAAAGAAGAAATAAAAAAGAAAAGACAAGCAAAAACGTAAAAGTGACGAGCAGGGAAAGGAACGAAACAAAGAAAAGAAAAAAAACAAAAGAGAAAAGGTTAAAGCAACAAACATTTTTCTGGAGAGTACTTACGGTGACACATGACGGTGAAACAAATAAAGTGCAACGGCAAAAACAAACTCAACAATGACCATCCTAAGTGAAATTAATTACAAAAATGTTGGTTGTACCGTGCTCATGGTACAACAGACTGTACCATATAATTTACCTACTTTTTGTGTACAATTTGTACGAGTAATATTTATTTTTACGCATTTTATATAACAATCATGTCAATTCATTAACAATCATGTCAATTCATTAACTACTTCATAACAAGGAACTGCAAGCTAATGGTTAGTTCTTGGAATAAGGACCCAAATATTACTAATAGCTTTGTGAAATACCAAAAAATGACTACTTTTCCTTTTTTCCAAAAATATGACTTACCCGGTCCAACCCATCACTTTCCATCCAGCCCATGCCTTTTGCAAACCGACACAGGAGCTCCCAAGGCAATCAGAGGAACATCTCCCAGGCTATCGCAGGAGCAGAGGAGACAACCCCCAAAGTCATCACTGTAGCCCCCGCGGACAAGGTAGATAGATCACAGTCGCTTCCGTCCTCGCCCATGTCTTCTCCGCCTCGCCTCCGCCAGCTGCCAAGGTCGCAGCCATGGCAATTCTGCCGCCTTTGCAGCCCTATTTTGGGCTAGGGTGAATCGCCTTCTTCTTCTTCTTCTTCTTCGTTGTGGCGGCGGCGTAGGGTGAATTGTCTTCTCCTTCTTCGCTGCACGATACCTTCTTCTTCTTGTTCGCTAGCTTCGTCGATCTGAATCTGCTACCCTATTTCAGATCTGGTGGTGTTGGGGCTGCTGTGGCTCGAGCGAGGCAGGGAGGTGGTTGTGTGGGCTGCTGCAAGTCGCTGGGCCGCACTGGGGCCACGCTATGCGGCGGCGTAGTGGTGTAATGCAGTGGTGTGAAGGTGGTGGTGGAATGTGGTGCTGGCGTGGAAACTTTCCGGAGGACGGTGGCCGGAGTAATTGTATGTCATTGCGGAGTTGTCACTACGAAGATGTCACCGCAAACTTGTGACTGTGACCGGCAGTGTTGGCTGGAGGCGGCGATGGTCGGACGACGGAGATGTCATTGTGCTCATAGTTTGGGGCAGAGATGTCACTACGGAGTTGTCACTGCGGATGTGTCACTGTGGCCGTCGGCGGCAACTTGTGGCAGTGACACAGGTGACGACAGCAGAGGCGTCACTGTGGCCGACGATGGCAGAGATGTCACTGCAGAGATTAGCTACAGAAATGTCACTCGTAAATGTCACTGCGGAAATGTAACTGTGTATTAGTCACATTTTTGTACAAATGTAAATATGGTCACTTTTTTGAAAATTAGATTTAATTTAGTTATATTAAGGGAAAAATCCCTTAGTTCTTTAACTAACATCAAGTAAAATAGATACGTGAATCGGCATATAAAATCGAAATTAAAAAGATACGTAATACAAAATAGATAAAAAAGATAAGATAAGATAAAAAGAATGATAAATAGATAATAAATAAAAGTAGAACATAAATAGTTGTGCACTCAATTGTAAGGTTGTTTTTAATTTCAACTGATTTCAGTCCCAACTCCCAATCAAGATCAGGTTAGACAAAAAATAAACATAGAAAAGATATCTAGCTAATCAGACAGACCGATTAATTTGTGGCTACTTTTGTAGTTATAAATCGATTGGCCACTGTTTGTACCATCAAACCAGGAATTGTCATATAAAATGCAATTTATTTTTATAGATAGTTTGGTAGTTATCTCCTCTCGTTCATTTTGTTGTTTCTATCCCAAGTCCCAACCGACAGATCAGGAAGAATATCGATATGATATCTGCTTACTAGTTACTGCAATGGCTAAATGAGCTAATGAAATGAAATTATCATTATTATTATGGTTAAAAACAAATATTATCACCGGAACACCTATATTGGTGAAGAGATCGAAACATATAATGCTGAAAGGAGTGTGTCATTTATTTTAGGAAAAATTGATTGTAATAATCCCAACTATTGGCGGTCCGCTTTTAATAATCCCAACTATCGATTATCTCAGAATAATCTCAACTTATGTCACCTTCCGTCAATAATGGTCCATGACCAGATATGACCTGCTATAACAAGTGAATTTTAAATAGAAATAAAGTGTAAAAATTAAAAGTTGAATTATTTATAGGGATTACTTGTTATATTTTTTCTCATCCACTTTAGAAACTATAGGAATTTATTTATAACCGGTCATGTCGGACCATTATTGGCGGAAGGTCATTAAAGTTGGGATTATTCTGAGATAATCGATAGTTGGGATTATTAAAAGCGGACCGCCAATAGTTGGGATTATTACAATCAATTTTTCCTTTATTTTATTCTATTATACTCGATTTTCAAATTGACTTTCATAATCATAAAATACACCTACACGAAAAAATTTACTCATGTAGATAATTATTAAGGAGACACATTTTAGTGAAAAATTCTACCCCTATCCAAGAAAATCTCTGTTAAATAAGACCTTTAAGTATTACGAAATCGTCACATAAAATCATGTACTCAATAAAGTGTCAAATAAATACGGCTACTTCTTAAAAGCAATTGGATGAGTCAAAATGATACATTGACAACCTCCTAATCCCGATTATAGTTTATGTGTCGTTATTTTTTTCTTGTATTTAATTAAGTAAATCCCGGCCAAATAATTCACGTCAGCCCTATAATATATTTTAAAAAATAGGTAGGCATACACTAATATCGAGATTATGAGGTTGTTAACTAGTTGTTAGGACTCATCCGAAAGCTTTTTAGAAGTAGACGTATTTATATGATTCTTTGTTGAGTACATGATCTTATGTGACGAATTTATAATAGTAGAAAACCTCATTTGTCTTTTTTCTCAAAATTAATTGGTCATGGTAATGTCCTCAGTCTTCACAATCTTTAACCCAATTCAATGTGTACATGTCGTTTCAGTGTTTCTTTAACTAATTAATACTCCCTTCGTATTCAAAAGTTTGATACACTTTACTATTTGAGATGTATTTAAAATTTTGCTACACTACTTTTCTTTTTTGGTGAATTTTTCCTTTAAGAATACCCAATTACTTTTACTTTTTCTACTTTTCATCTTCTATTTCCTACTTTTTCAACTTGTCTAATACTTTTTCTACACTATTCATTGCACCTACAATTTCCTCCTTAAATATTATGTTAAGACCTAATGTAGTGATCTTTTAAATACTGAAGGAGTATTAGGTTCAAATATGTTTTTGGACCCTATAAATAGAAAATATTTCGTTTTACGTCCATGCGATATATTTTTTTGTTTTTCATCCAAAGTCTGTTTATTTTCGTTTTAGCCTATCATCGATGGTAACCTCCATGTGCAAACGAAACAACCCTGACTAATTGTTTTTTCTAATTCTTATGTAAATACTACATTCGTTCCACTATGTTTCTGACAAGAGGATGTGACATAACATTTAAGAAATGATGGAATTTTGTGGTTGATATTGAATTGAGAAAATGTGAATAAAATAAGAATAAATTGTAATCACTCAAATATTACCAAATATGATATGAGACAAACTTAATGTGATTGGTGAAAAAGGTAAAACGAGACAAAATTTGGGGACTAGAGTATTAATTGACAAAACTTGCGTAAACATTTTATAATCATATATGACATCTAAGCACCGATTTCCAATGAGTAGACAATTCTTCAACAATTTATGGTTTGCATTTGGTAGCTATAAATAGCCCTCTATTTCTCATTTCCCTCACAATTCTTAAGGAATTGAAGAACAAGCATTCCATCTTGTATGCACTACATATAACACTGTATCAAATACTATACAATTAAATATGGGCCGTATTATGCCGGTCACCATAGCTTTAGCCATTGTAGTTGTAGCCTTGGTTGCGTCTCCATTGGCGTGTGCATATGATCCCGACAAGTTGCAGGACTTTTGTGTGGCCATCAAAGACTCAGACGCTAATGGTACGCCCGCATTTAATCAACAACTTTGTCGTTCCCTTTGTCTAAACAGCTTCTAAATGAGGTTTTAGGTATTTAAACATGTCAAAATAAAGTTTCATGGTCCTATATAGCAAATTTATAATATATCAGCATCATCATAAATGGAAAATGCTTAGTGTACATGAGTTGTATACAAACCGTGCACAAAATCCCCTAGTTACCCGTGTTAAATGTGTGTACAATATTCTGCATGCAAATTAAATGAAATAATAATTAAATAATTAAGGAAACATGTATAATTACTTGTAACCGAGCCCAACTTAAGTGTTGTTTCCTTAAGACGTTTTTGCCCGACACACGTAGCAATCGTCTCCCAGGATAGAACGGTTCTTCGCTCCCAACGGGATTCCGACGAACTCAAAGATGAAACGAAGGAAGAGAATATGGAAGATTGTGTGTAGATTTTCGAATTGATGGAAAATGTTGGCAGTCATGGGTATATATAGAGCTCTGGCCAGGAGTCTCTACACCCAAAAGACACTTTTAGAAAGAAAGGTCGTGACTCTCCTTCTAAAACCAAAGGATGTGTCTATTGTCAAACATTATCCAAAATTGAGAGCGACTAATAGAATTATCTTTAAGCCATATACTCGGGCGGACGGTTTAAGACTAACCCGAAACTCGACCTGGCCAACTGAACGGCGGTGACGGTGTTTGCGTGTGAGATATAATTTCACACTTATCTTTCGGGAAACAATTTCTCATTAATTTCAAAATGATTTTTACAAATAATATTAATGACCACAATATTAATTTGTAAAATCATTTTTCCAACAACCTGTGTACACATGCAATTCATTTAGAAAAGGGCACCATTTGATACCCAATTATCTGTGTACATAAGCAATGTACACATTTTGTGTACATCTTGTGTACACCAAGCATGATCCCATGATTAATTCCCTCGCTACCTATCTCTTTCGGTAACTCGTGAGGGAATTTTTGATGATGAAAGTGACAACTTGTTTTCAGAATTGGCAGAAAACTAAAATAGTCATTTGACGCATATACACATATGATTCTATTAAAAGGAATCATTCTCATATACTCCCTCCGGTCCCAAATGAAATTTACACTTTTATTTCACACAAATTAAGAAAATAAATTTGACTTTACTGTAGAGTACACTGTTTGGCACGCACTGTTTGACACTGTTTGACACTATTTGGCAATGTTTTGCACTGTTTTGCATTGTTTTGATGTAGATAATTTGCCAAATAAGGAAGGGAGAATTAATGTGAAGTTTATTTTGAACCTACCCAAAAAGGAAAGTGTGAATTTCATTTGAGACAGGAGGGAGTATAAATAGTCAATTAATTAGCTTATAAATCATAGTATGTGATACTACCTCCGTCCCGCTATGATTGTCCCGTTTTACCTTATCGGTCAGTGACGGACCCAGAGATTTGGGAGAGCGGGGGCACATTAGACACTAAACTTAGTCTATAATAAAAAATTTGGGCCCGAAACGGGGCACTGGTTTATACCTTAAGTGTTACTAGTGAATTTCTGGGCCTGAAGTGGGGGCACGTGCCCCCTAGCCCCCCTTAGGTCCTCCACTGGGTCCGTCCCACTAAGATTGTCCCATACCAAATTTGTCAAAGTTTGTGTGCCTCTAAATCATTCTTACTTTATTCTTACTTTATCAATTCAATATCCACCACATAAACCACTTTTTATTGATTTGCGTGTCACTCTCTCTTGTCCCATTATTAGCGGGACGGAGGGAGTATAAACTAGAAAGCCTGATTTTTAAATACTTTTTAAAGCATAAAAAACGTATTTACTTTATTTATATGAATAATAAGTGGCACACACACACACACATATATATATATATATATATATATATATATATATATATATATATATATATATAATATTTAAATTGATTCTATCTTTTTTAGAAGACCTAATTCATGCAATTTCATTGCACATAGAACAATATAGCAAGTTGAAAGGAAGAACACTTTGAGCGCGTTTGGTAATGGTGAGATTAGTTTAGTCATCATGAAATGACTATATATGCTGAAATATAAGAACTTATATTTGAAATTCATTTTTTAATTAAATTAAAAATATTTTCTGAAAAATATAATTTAAGTAGTCTACTTAAACAAATCACCCAACTGAGTGAGAAAAGTAAACGAGATGAAAAGTTTAGTGCATGTTTTGTAAACAAGTAGGACGACTAGCTAAGAATAGAGGCTACCAAATTGGTCTTATTTATATAGGCGCCACATGCATATAAGGCATATGGAGAGGAGGAAATTACCAAAATACGGGGTTTTCCCGTCTGACAATCCAAATTGCGGAACTTGCAATTAGGTTACCAAATTACGGGAGTCGGATTTGGCAAATCCGACTAGGGAGGCCTTCCAAATTAAAGAGTACCTAGTCGGAATTGTGGAATCCGACTAGGGGGTTTGAATTTTTTGTTTCCATTATTTGTTTGATCCGAATGAATTAAAAAAAATAAAAATAAATAAAACCTAGTCGGAACTGTGTAATCCGACTAAGGGTGTTTGAATTTTTTTAATGCCTAATAATGTGTAATTAAAAGAAATAAAAAATAAAAATAAAAAACAAAAAAAAACTGTCGGATAGCCCACATCCGACTAGGGATGTTGTTTAAAAATTTTATATTTGAAAATACATATATTTTGTTTTATTTTAAGAAATTTTATAAATTAAATTTTATAAATTAAATTTTTATTTTAAGAAATTTTATATTCGAGATAAATTTTGTTTTATGTAAACCATAACATTAGAAGTATTTATTAGATAAAATTTAATTAGATAAGTTCAATTAGATAAAATGAATCAGATAAAAATTTATCATATATAATTCAATCAAAATTCAATATTCTATCCAACCATATCTGCACGAAAATAAAGTGACCCAAAATTCAATACTTTATGTGCCGGATTATAAAACCTCCAATTTGACCCAATAAGGCACAATCATTCAAATTTTATGCAATCAGTCTATATCATGAACACGAGTTGTGAAATTGACCACGAGTTCCTTAATATAGAGATAACAATTTAATATTAACACTCGTGATTCACATTTTTTAGATCCGGATCATAAAAACCCCAATTCGACCTGGTAAGAATACAATCTTCTGAAATGCAATTAGCATATATCATGAACACGAATTGTGAAATTGACCACGAGTTACTTAATATATAGATGAAATTTTAATATTCACATTTGTGATTCACATTTTTTAGACCCGGATCATAAAAACCCCTATTCGACCCATTAGGGATACAATCATTTGAAATGTAATCAGCCTATATCATGAACACGAGTAGTAAAATTGACAATAATTTACTTAACATATAGATGGAATTTTAATATCCATACTTGTGATTCACATTTTTTAGACTCGGATCATAAACCTCCAATTTGACCGAATAAGGGCACAATCATTCAAATTTTATGCAATCAGCCTATATCATGAACACGAGTTGTGAAATTGACCACGAGTTCCTTCATATAGAGATAACAATTTAATATTAACACTTGTGATTCACATTTTTTTAGGACTTTGGAAGTACGTATTTTAGTAATTTGTAAATTTTTAATTTAGATTGTGAAATTGGAATTTTAGAGTTAAATTTAGCTATCAAATTTTAGACTACTGATGATCGTTCACTACTCACGTTGCCACCGAATTCCCATCGTGCGGACCGTGTATGGTATGAACTAGAATCCAAAGACGAAGAGTACAATCATACCTCACAATAAAGACGAAGAGGTCACCTAGCACACTAGCTAGGGTCCTAATATGGCAATTGCGGGCGGACCGTTGGAATCGTATATACACGCTTGATTATGAACAACAAGCGATACTCGATGCAAGGCATTTACAAAGTGTATCAGCTTGACGCGAGCAGTGAGGACATATTTGTCAACTCAAAATAGTAGTAGTAGTAGTAGTAGTAGGAGGAGGAGGAGGAGGAGGAGGAGGAGTTGTAGCAACAACAGTAGTAGTAGGAGGAGGAGGAGGAGGAGGAGGAGGAGGAGGAGGAGTAGCAGAAGTAGTAGTAGTAGTAATAATACCAACAGTAGGAGTAGTAGTAGTGGTAGTAGTAGTAGTAGTAGTAGTAGTAGTAGTAGTAGGAGGAGGAGGAGGAGGAGGAGGAGGGGGGGGGGGGGGGGGGGGAGGAGGAGGAGGAGTAGTAGGAGTAGTGGTAGGAGTAATAGTAGTAGTAGTAGTCGTAGCATCAGTAGTAGGAGGAGTAGTAGTAGGAGTAGGAGGAGGAGGATAAAAAATCACCTAAATCAAATATGCAAATAAAATTTAATCACCTAAATCTAACTTCCACCTACCAATTCAATTCATTTTTTATGGCTTAAGATTTTGATCAGATAAATATAATCAAATAAAATTTAATCAGAAAAAATATAATCAGATAAAATTTTATTAGATAAAAAATATAATCAAATAAAATTTAACACTTGTGATTCACATTTTTTAGACCCGGATCATAAAAACCCCAATTCGACCTGGTAAGGATACAATCTTCTGAAATGCAATTAGCATATATCATGAACATGAATTGTGAAATTGACCACGATTTACTTAATATATAGATGAAATTTTAATATTCACACTTGTGATTCACATTTTTTAGCCTCGGATCATAAAAACCCCTATTCGACCCAGTAGGGATACACTCATTTGAAATGTAATCAGCCTATATCATGAACACGAGTTTTAAAATTGGCAATGATTTACTTAACATATAGATGGAATTTTAAAATTATTAATTTAACATTTTCGATTAATTAAACTCAAATTTAACTCAAATTATTAATTATTAATTTCTAATTTCCCCTTGTCGGATTTACCAATTCCGACAAGAATTTTTTTTTATTATTATTTATTGATTTTTTTTCGTTGTAATTCATTCACAATATATAAAACTTCTAAAAAAAATCCTCTCGTCGGAATTGGGACTTCTGACAGGAGTAAAACCAAGTTTTTATTTTGTTTAAAAATCCCTATATCGGATTTAAGTTGGGATTTAGTATTTCCGGATTAATATCAAAAAATAATATTAAGCAATCAAAAAATTTTTAAAATCAAAATTCATAATATTCATTTTAAAAAATATGCCAAGAATTTAAAACAACTTTTAATTCGGAATTTAGAATAAGGAATTAACAATACTTTTAAAAAAAACTATTAAAATCAAAGCTTTATCAATAAGGAATTAACAAGGAGTTAACAAAAAACAAAAAAAAATCCTGGTCGGAAGTCACACATCCGACTGGAGGGAGAGGTGTTTTTTTTAAACCCTTCCTCTGGTCGGAACACCCAATTCCGACTCCCGCTTTTTGGGAAAACCTAGTTTTTTCCCCGTTTTTTGGCAATAGATGTTGATGAATCCCGTATTTTGGTAAAACACCCTATGGAGAGTAGTAATGTTGTTGTTCCATCTTGTTGACTAACATAGCTATGGCCATGCAGTGTTTGTAAACGGAAAGATCTGCAAGAACATAGCAGAAGTAAATGCTGATGATTTCTACTTGCAAGCCCGCTTTAACATCCCACGAAACACATCAAACCTGTTTGGATATGTGCGGACGCCAATAGGAGCGGAACACCTACCAGGACTAAACACGATGGGTATTTCAATAGGGCGTGTGGACCTGGGACCGTATGGAGTGAACACTCCCCACATCCATCCTCTAGCAACCGAGGTCGTCACGGTGTTGGAGGGGAGAATATATGTTGGATTCATTGACTCTAGGAACAGATTGTATGCCAAGACGCTCCTTCCCGGAGACATTTTTGTACTGCCAAAAGGACTCGTTCATTTCTTGTACAATACCGGAGAGCGCAATGCAGTTGTCTATGCTGCTTTTGGGAGCCAAAACCCAGAAGCCCTCCATTTACCCAACACTATTTTTGACAGTGATCCTCCCGTTCCTCTTGAAATTCTTAGTAAAGCTTTCTTATTAGACAAGACTGTGATTAGCCGTATCCGGTCCCAGATTCGGTCAGGATTTTCGGAGTGAGACCAGCACGTACTCATGCATGCATGATGCATGCAGCCAATCCGGGGAAAGCTAGTGGTTAATAAAGGAACCTCTATATATAGATAAGCAATAAATGTATGTGTTATTCGATGAAGATCAAGGCATGCATATAATAATGTATTACGGAGTATAATATTTGTCCTTTTCTTATCTTGTTATATGACTCGGGTAAAAATATATTTGTGAGTGCTCTTATTGAGGCAATCTCTTACATTATTTCACATGGTATCAGAGCTCATGATTGTATTTCCTCTCGTCTGGGAAAATCACAACGTTTACACTTTTCAGATGCTATTTATTCATCTTCCCAGCCTCTATATTTAATTTATTCTGATGTTTCATAGTCTCATGTTCTCTGTAATTTAGGCTTTAAATACTACTACCTCCGTCCCCCTGTTATTGTCCCATTGCGGTTTACGATGCTTGACTGACGATAAAGTAAACAGATTCCTGCCCGCACTAGAATTATTTTTAGAAAAAAAATTGCATATTCAGAAACTACATTAAAAGTTTTACAAAGTCGCAAAAACCAGAATCAAATTTGATAAAAATTTGATATATAATGTAAGAGATTAAGAGTGATTTGTGTTGACCAAGTGAATAGGAAATGAGACAATAATAGGGGGACGGAGGGAGTATGTATTACGTGTGTTGTGTTGATAATTTTTCTAGGTTTACTTGGTTATATTGTGTGCGTCAAAAGAGTGAGGTTTTCGCTCACTTTCAGAGTTTTAAATCTCTTGCTTAAAATCTCGTTGATCTAAAAAAAATCAGAGTGATGGTAAAGGAGAATCTTTGAATAATACTATCGTTCAAATTTTTACTTATCAAGGTATTAGTTTCAAAAATCCTGCTCCGACACTCCTCAAGAAAATGAAGTTGCAGAGCGCAAGCATCATTATCTTCCGCCTCAGTTTTGTGTTGATGCTTTATTTACTTCCACGTATATGCTTAACTTATTACTTCTCCTCTTCTTCAAGGTCTTTCTCCTATTCAAAAGGTTTTTCATAAATCTCCTCACTTTAATTTTTTGAGTTTTTGGGTCTACCTGTTACCCTAACATTCCCGCTAGTTCTACCAATAAACTTTATTCTCCTTCTATTTAGTTGTTTTTCTAGGTTATGGAACGGTTCCTAAGAGAAACATGCTTAACATGAGGACGTGATCTTAGAACCATGCCCTTTTAACACAATTTGTCAATTTGAATTTGTTGCACTATGAGGCTCATCTATTACACTTATTAAACTTTGACCAAAATATGCCAACATCGAATACATGTAGTGCCAAATCTGTAAATATTTTTTCAACATGAAAATGTGCAAACCATAAAGGATATAGTGCATCACATTTGCTTAAAAGTGGAGTTTTCACATTCTCACGTTAAGTGTGTGTGTGTGTGTGTATCGGGTCCGATTCTGGTGAGAGCACTTTTAAATGAGAGAAATGAGAATGCTCCAAATGATGCACATTATGGATCACGAAAATGCACATTTATATTTAAAGTAATGTAAAATTTAAATGTGCACATTTACGTTTGAACATTTACACAGTTGAAATGCACTTTTTCCATTTTTTATATGCACTTTTGTTTTTTTACAAGATGCACGATACCCAAATACAACACCTACTAATCATTCTCATTTCTCTCCTGAAATTATATTATCATATCATCATTACTCTCTCTCTATTTTTTTACCCCCCCACGGGGGGGGGGGGGGGGGGGGGGGGGGGGGGAGAGTGCCTTGGCTAAATTGGGATCAAACTCACTCCTTTGAGTATTAAACCAGGGACCTCCAATAAGGGAGAGTGAATCATCAACCAATTGAGCTAGACCGCTTCCTCACTCTATATGTATATTGGATATATAAAGTGTGAACGTCTCCAGTTTTGATCATATGTAGTGCACTATTGCACTTACATGATTTTTGTCATCTACGGTACACTTTTGCACACATGAAATTCAATTTTTGCAAAGAAGAAAAACTTTAATTTATTTTTTCATCGACCGGGTAAGTGTATTTTTCTGGCACCTTCTGTTTTCACTTCCTACCCGACTAGGTAAATAGTATACCCGACCGGGTGAGTCACCTGGGCAGTTTTCTTCACTTCAAAGTCCTTGATAAGTTCGTATTACAACACGCATTTGATGCATGTTGGAGTCGGATTTTGATGGTTTTCCTAGCTTTAAGGTGTTGCAAGTCTCAATTTTAGCTCAAGATGTAATTATCAGGTGTTGGGTAGAGTTTTGTTGCATTTGGAGTTGAATTGAAGAAGTTAGAGACCGGCATCGGTGCTTAAAGAGGCAATCGGGAAGATTTTGGAAGCATTCGAGGAAGATTTGAGAGATTTGGAGGTCACCGGGAGGTTCACGATGAAGATTTGAAGGAAAAAGAGCTCTAGGATTGGCTACGGGATCAAAAGAAGATGAATGAAGCTTGAAATCAGTGATCAGGATGACCTTCTGTCAATCGTTCAAGCATATATCTTTGTAGAAACATTCCATGTTCATGATTCAAAGTCCATATGAAAGCTAACTTCAAGGGCTACAAATAATATGAAGACACATTTGCTATAATATGAGAGAAAGAAGGTGAAAACAGACGATGAAGTCAGATGATCGCTGCTGCGATTTCAGAATGATACATTCCACCGTTTTGATCATATCTCTTGATTGGATGATTCAAATCACATTCGGAAAATTGGGATGGATAGAGGACGTCATTATCTACAACTTTCAGGAAGGAAGAGTTGCCAATTTCGGAAGTTAAGTAGGCACTATCGTACCCTCAAAGTCAGGCACGATCGTGCGTGAAGAGAAAGTATCGTGGAGCTACTGCCAGGCAGACACGATCGTGCCTGGCAGGCAGGCACGCCGTGTCTGCCCAAAATGCGCGTTTTTGCTCTGGAGGCAAGATCGCAGGCACGGTCGTGCCTGGCGCCGTGCCTGACCCTATTTTATCCTAATTCAGCCTAAATTGCCTTGTTTCCTATAAATAACACCCCCATAATCCTAATAAGGGGGGATGAAACTTATTTTAGAAGCTGAAGGACGAATTTGAGAGCTTTTTAGCCCTGGTTTTTTCTATTCTTTGAGATTCTTTGTAAGTTCCTACTTTTTAATTAATGTCAATTATTTCTATTCTTCCCAATTCTATTGATTCTTCAATTATGAGTCGGGAGAAATTTTAATTAGGGATTTGGGATTGATGAAGGGGTTAATCACGATGTATGGTTAGGTTCTTGATAGTGTAAATTGCATGAATGCCGTTTAATTTGTGTTTGAGTAATTTAATTGATATCTTTTGTAACCTAGATGGCCACTAGAATTACAATCGCATGTAGAATGAATTAAGAGAGATCTAGTTTATTCTAGGACACATTCACACACACTTAATCGTTCGCTAAGAGATTAGTAGCGATTAAGGGGACGTAAGCTCGTTCGTCTTGGCAATAATTTAGGATCCTGTCGCATGAGAGATCAGTCTGGTCCCCTAAATTATTGTACTCTACGTTGCGAGAGCGGTAAGAACTTAGTATTGATTAGCTAGACTCAATTAAATTAAATTCATGTAATTAAGCCTGATCTGCCATAAATCTGATTACCCCGGAATCAATCCATGTTCCCTTCGTCGTTAATTAAGAAGAACCCAAATATTTACTTTTATTCGTTTATTTGCAATTTTAATTTTCTCAATCAACCAAACCTCGCACGACCACATTTTATTTTATTTCTGTTTAATCGCCGAATTTAATTAATTCTTAATTCTCTTTTGTCCGTCCATGTGGAGACAATACTCGTACTTACACCCTTTACTACAATCTATTTTAAGTGCGAGAAAACTCACATCAGTCCTCTTTTCCAACACTACAAGTCCTAATACTACTTTACAACTTACAAATGAAAGAAAATACATTTACATCTAAAATCACGCAAATGTTTACAAACTAAATAAAAATGGTAAACAAATCACACAAATCAAACATAAAAACATACACTTATGCACTATTAATTAGTGCATATCACGAATGCAATAGCTTCTTAAACCTCATTTTAAAGTCATTTTTAACATTAGATTTCTCTTAAATCCATACATCATACTTTAACTTAATATCTCTATTTGGTGTGGTATAAACATGAACTCATACATCCACTAGTTTGGTTTTATTTCATTCAAGTGCCTAACTTTCAAATTCTATTCACTCAAAAATTGATTATAAGAAAATGATAATGCTTAATTCATGCTACGTATGTTCTAAATGAAATTAGTTAACGAAACTAACTTAAACATTTTATTATCATGATGCCTACGCACATATTTCCGATAGTTAGACAATTTTTAAACATTTATGGTTTACATTTGGTAGCTATAAATAGCCCCCCATTTCTCATTTCCCTCATAATTCATAAGCAAGAATAAGCCTTCCAGGCATCTCGTACTACATATTACATTGTGTCAGATACTCTCCAATTAAATTTAGGCCATAATATGCCACTCATCATAGCTTTAGCCGTTGTTTCTATAGGATTAGCTACTTCTCCATTCACTCGTGCATCAGATCCCGACAAATTGCAGGACTTTTGTGTGGCTATCAAAGACTCTGATGCTAATGGTACACATTTAATTTAATCAACAATTGCAAGTGTTGTTCTCTTCTTTAAAAAACTTCTAAATGTTTGCATTATTTAAACTTTTCAAAATAAAGTTTCATTGTCCTTAATGGCAAATTTATGATATTTCAGTGTCATGGACACCCCTACTTATCAATATCATTAAATAGAGTAAACGAGTTTAATAAATCCACATTGCTATGTTTTTCTTCCCGAAATAGTAATCATTACTGTCAAATAGTTACAATACAAGGAATTAAACATGACAATATTTACTATCATTAATAACTGTATTTTTTAATAATGACAGTAAAGACTCATATTTTGAAAAGAAAAACATAGAAGTCTCATTGGGGATTGCAAAACGTGGTTACTCTTATTTAGGAAAATTTCCCTTAATTTCCTTGGCAAGGCTACGTGAAGGAATTTGGGAAGGTTAAAGTGACAAGCTTTTTTCAAAACTGACAATGGAAAATTTAAAAATAATAATAGGCTAAAGGGTCAAATAGGCTCTCAAACTAACTTAAAAAGTGCAAATCACCCCTTATAAGACTAGTTTACCCATACCAAATTTCAACTAAAAATTCAATTGGGAAGACAGTCAAATAAACCCTCTCTCATTGTTGAAGACATAAAGGAAAGAAAGAAAAAGGAAATAAGAGTGCCACAAGATTTAAAGAATTGAAAAGATGAAGGGGGAGTTTTCTGGTGGAGTGGTGGAGTGTTGATTAAGTAAGAAGAAGATGAATCACGGTGAAATCAATCCATGAATTAATAAAGTAAACTAGGCTAAAGGGTCAAATAGGTATATATAGGAGGTTCTGCCCGACCGTCGTCAATTTGGGCGGTTCCCCGTAAAATGTTTTGACGGTTTTTTTTTAGAATTTTCTTCATTAAGTCTAGTTTACCCATATCAAATTTCAGCTAAAAATTAAATCGGGAAAGCAGTCAAATGATTTTCCGAAATGTACTGCGTTGTTTAACTGCGCAGTTATCTTCAAAAAATCATTTGACGGCCTTCCCGGTTGAATATTTAGCTGAAATTTGGTATGAGTAAACTAGACTTAATGAAGAAGATACTCAAATAATTTAATCAAAAAATTCCACCGGGAACTTCCCCAATTAGCGACGGCATGGCAGAACCTTCTATATAAGGGGCTAATTGAACACATTAAATTAGTTCATGTACCTATTTGACCTTTTAGCCAAGTAAACTAACTAAAACGTAACTTTGGGATAGAAGTTATGGAAAAGATCGCTGCTCCCTTAATAGATTAAGGAAATCAATAGTTTGCCCTCAATTGAAAGAGAAAAGGAAGAATCAACAAATTCATATATCCAAAGGTTGTTTTTTATCCTTTGTATTTTTATGTGTATCCATTTATTTTTATTTTTTATCATTGCTTACCTTTTTATCTTTCGTATCTTTCTTTTCCTTTTGGTTGCGACATCATGCATCAATTCATGTTAGTCGACCCCAAAATCTTAGTGGACTAAGACTTGGATATTGTTGTTGCTGTTATAAAAAAATTATGATATTTTATCTTATACTAATATTGCATATGTAAAATTTTGAAAATATATATTTTTATTTTGGTATATACGGTCCATTTTAGCCAGATTCGGTTAATGAATGGTGTGTCTATATTTTACTATTATTGACGAGCACTTTGTCGTAGTGCCTCAAAATAAATTCAATACTAACACTTTACGTAGTATAGTGCAGTAGAGTTCGTATCCACAGAGAAAGCAAATAAATCTCTTTTTAAATGAAACTAGTAATTAAAGGGGTTTTTTGGAGTTGAATGATTTAATTTAATTGAAAACTGAGATAAACAACTTATATGTGATTTAATTCAAAGATAAAAAGAACTTGGCTTTGCTACTTTCCACTTGTTGATATATTTAGTCGATCCTTATTATATCTATAACTTATCCCCTCTCGAATACTCAATCGAGGAGTATATCCTACTTATTGAGGGTAGTTATTAACAACGACCGTTCATTAACAACCCTTACCATTAATCAAATATAGAACAATGCCGTATACCGATTTAATAGTAGCATTTAATCTTTTTAACTCCTTGATGAAATCAATTAAGATTGATAACCTTAACACAACGGTTTCTGTTTAACCAACAAAATTAATCCCTCTTAAGTCTATTAACCGCAACCGTGCATTAATAAACCGAAGGTACTTACTTGTGTTAAATAATCGTCACTTAGCAACACCCCAACATTAATATAGAATGAGATTAAGGGAAGAATTAATATTCAAGAAGAGAAGTTAAGAAAATAACTCACAACTTTAATAATCAACAAGCTTCAAGAGCAAAACCAAGAAATGGAAGTTTAGCTCCTCATTTGGAGACTAAACATTGCTAGAAAAATATAAAGAAATGCTATTCTAAACTTAGCTTAAGAGTATGGAAGAAGGAATGATTAAAAGTGAAGGAAAAATGTGCTATTTATAGGTGTTTTCAACACCCTGGGTCGGATACCCGATTGGGTAAATGGACATACCCGACTGGGTAAATGTCAAAATCAAATATTTCCCACGTTCTTGTGTTCTTTAGCACGATTAATTGTCCGGGTCACTTCATACCCGACCGGGTAAAGAATATACCCGACCGGGTATGTCACCTGGGCAATTTTCTTTGCTTCAAAGTCCTCTTTTCCAACACCACAAATCCTACCACTACTTTAGAACTTAAAAATGAAAGCTAAAATACAATTACAACTAAAATCACACAAATGTTTACAAACTAAATAAAAAGTCGAACAATCAACATAAATCAAACATAAAAGCATACAATTATGCAATACTAATTAGTGTGCATCAAACACCCCCACACTTGAACCATTACTCATCTCGAGTAAACCAAACTCTGTCTAAGAATTCCTTAAAATGACAAGAGTATCAACACAAACATCCAAAAGTGTTTTTAAAACAACACAAAGTATCCCCAAAACTAAAAAAGTAAATAGGGGTCTTCAACTCCATATCTCCTATCAACATTTCTTTTTCATTGTTACCCTTTGGATCTTGTAAAAATAAAAGAGATTCCTTCTCTCATTCTCTCATTTTTCCTAGGTGCCCTTTCGGGTTTTCATCCCAGCTTCCCACATTTTTCTGTTTAATCCTCACAACTCACTCTTATTTTTGCTTTATTTTTGCTTAAGTTGCCTTTTCAGGTTTTCAACTTAACAAGCTTTTTTTTTTAATTTTTTTTGAACATGAATAAAGAGCATGAATGTGAGTATTCCATGAAACTCTACCCCCAAGCTAGTCAAAGCACTGTCCCTAGTGCTCATCTCCGAGTTGTCCGAGAAGATGGACCCTTTGCATTTTTGGTGTGTTTTTTTTGAAATTTTTGGGCTAAAATTCAGAGGATTGTGTTTGAAAGGGTAAGGTTTTGGATTTTTGGATTGGGTGTTTTTTTAGTATAGAGTTGAATATGAAGGAGAGGAGAAGAAGACTACGGGGTGAATTTGTGGATTTGGTGAATGGATGTAAGTGATGATGCGGGTATAGGATTTTTACACTATACCCGACTGGGTGAATGGTGGTACCCGGCCGGGTATGTGCTCCAGGCCTCCACAATTTTTTTTGTGCAAAGTTAAAATAAAATAAGATAAGTAAACGTACCTTGAATGAGTTGCCTCCCAAAAAGCGCTTTATTTAACGTCGTGACGCGACGTCATCATTGTGTTCTGTCATTCAACCTTGCATCGTGATAGTTCACCTTTTTCACATTTTCACTCCTAGGACTTCCATAGAAATGCTTAATTTTCTGACTCTTCACTTCAGAAATCTTTCCAGGATCAAATATTCAGATTTCCATTGATTCATGTGGTGAGGGTGAGGGAAAAAATTTCCCATTTAGCATGCTCAATGGAAGGGATTTTGATTCGGGTGGCATAAGAGGGAGTATGAAATGTTTGCTTAACTCCACCGTTATTCCCTGCATGTTTGTGAACGAAGAGAAATCAAAATTATATTCACCTTTGTAAAAGATTTCACAGATTTCATTGCTTTTTTCAATCTCTTAAGTTTCTCTCAAAGCTTCGAGAGACGGTGAGGGTGCCTCAATAGGATGAAAAAGATAGCAATTTGACTTTAGGGCTCGACTCATCCTCTTCTTCTACCCGTTGGAGCTCCGTGTCTTTTTGTTCTTCTTCTAGATTTTGGGTCTCCTTTTGCAACTCCTCCCTATTCGCCAATGTGATTGCAAAAGTTTACTGTTTAGGATCATGTTATATTTGAAAGGGAAATTTTTCCGAATCCCTTGTTTCAAGCCTACTCACGGCTCCGGCTATTTGACTCACTTGAGTTTCCAAGTTTAAAATGCAAGACTTGGTCCCATTTTGGAATTGCACCATGTTGTTTTGCATGGTGGTCATGTTGGTAGTAAGAGCCCGAACCATATCCTCCGTAAACATGTTGGAGAATGGATCATACCTCATTTGAGGTATTTTCCTTTGAAAACCAAAATCATCAATTTGTTCAAGGTATTCTTCTTGGAGCTTTGAGCAAAAATCTGTAAGATGTCTGTGAGATATGCAAATGATGTAGGTCTTGGCATCTTGAGCTTTTGAGCATAAGATAAATTTCTTTATTAGAGAAGCCAAGACGGAAATTTGACTCTCTAGGGATGATGTGTTGGTATCCATATACTCATGTAAGCTCAGAAAATAGAAAAGTAATTTTTTACATATATTTTTATTATTAATTTATGTTTTGATTTTTTTGAAATAAAACAAAAAGAAAAATAATTGTCTTTCCTCAGAACCAGTGCCAAATTTGACGAGAACTTTGTTGTAGTGCGTCAAAATAAATTCAAAACTAACACTTATACGTAGTATAGTGAAGTAGAGTTCGTATCCACAGCCACAAGGAAAGGAATAAATCTCTTTTTAAATGAAACTAGTAATTAAAGGGGGTTTTGGGGTGGAATGGTTTAATTTAATTGAAAACTAAGATGAACAACTTATATGTGAT